AAAAAAAAAAAAAAAAAAACTATATTATATATTAATATTTATATTACTAATATTATTAAAATTAGTTTTGTCTATATATATAATAAAAATTAATAGATATTTGATATAATTTGATACAATTATTTGATGCAATTAATTGAGTTACTATTAAAACATATAAAATAATTAAGTCAAATGCAATTATTTTTGAGAATTTTGACAATTAAGTCAATAGTAAAATAATTTATATCACATATATAGTTTTGTCTATATTAATATATTATATTATAAAGTTTATTATAATAGTTTAAGCTAAAAGTTTTTATAAAAGTTAAATTAGAAACTTGTTTTTATATTGCTTCAACTTGTTTTTAATCTTATAATTATTAAAAAAATTTAAATTCTATCTTTATATAATTTAATTAATTTTTATTAAATCAAATTATTAAAAATAATATATATATTTAAAAAAAATTTTATTAAAAGATTTATATATTTAAATTAAACTTAACTATGTTTAAAGAAAAAAATATAGAATATATATTTAGAAAAGATTATTTATAACTATTTAAATTTAATTAAAATTTAATCAAAATTGTAATATATATATATATATTTATTTAAAAAAAATTATTTAATTTAGATTTGAGATAGATCTTTAAATTAAAAATGAGAACATAATTTAAATATAAGATCAAAAAAAAATTACTTATAAAGGTTTTTTACAATTTAAGCCACTTGATTCAAATGTTTTTTAAATTATATCTCTATTAAAATAATAAATAATTAATTATGTTTCTTTAAAAGAAATATAATTAATCTATAAAATTTTATATATTAAATAATTTAAAAATCCATTTTTACTTGTAGATCAATAATATAATGATCAGTGCTCCTAGATTCAGATCATAAGATATCAGTTCAATTCTATATAAAAGCAATTAAGCTGAATTAAAAATAATATCTGGTGCTATGACTTATCATATACTGTTTTCTATAGAAAGCCATTTCTTATACTAATCCAGCAGATATTAGAATTATGATATTAATATTACAAATTGTTGGTTGAAAAATTATTTATATTTAAAACAACTAATTAATTAGAAATTTTTTTGCTAACTAAGATTATTATATAATAACAAAAAAAGTATTATAGTATAATGATCATTAGATTGATATTACAATGTTTGTCATAAAGTCTTTTTATATATAAGTTGTTTGATTATCCTGTATACATTATATCCAATAAGTTTTGTCTTGACTTTTAGGATTTTCTAGTTTAAAGCTATTCCAATCTAGTATGTATTTAAAAGAAGTCAATCTTTGAAAAAAGATCTACTAAAGCTACAGATGATAATAAAGAACAAGTATCTCCTCTAAGAGTCCAAATAAAAAGTATTAAGATATTCAAAAATTCTATCAATTCTTGTGAAATAAATATAGCTCTTAATAATTAAATTTAATATAGGTTAGGTGATTTAAACTAGTAGTAGGACTTCTTTCTATATAGAAATCTTATCCAACATATTGGATTTATTATTGATATATAGTTTTTATAGTTGGGTTCAAGATAGACAGTAAGCTATTACCATAAGGTATTAGGCAAATTAGTTTACAGTTGTAAGGCTGTTTTTAAATATAATTGATACAAATATACAATTGTTTCAATTGTAAAAAGATACTTGATATATTTTGAAATATTAAGTATTAATAAAGATTTACATTGTTACATGTTTATTTATAAAAAAAAAAAAATTATTTAATTTATTATTTAATTCTTTTAATTTACTTTTTTGAATCTTTTATATATAAAAATTATTTTGTTTTAAATAGAACTTAAATAGAAATTAAAGATAAATTTAAAAGTTTTTGAATATTAAATTAAAATAATAGAATAATTAATGATATAATTTTAAGTAATTCATTTTATAGATATTAATTCAATTATATTTAAATTTTTTTTGATTTTAATATTTTTTATTAAGTTATTTTTTTACAACACCTTATATATAAATATAAAATTAATGTATACATACTATAATATCAAAAAAAGTATAATATTATCAAATATATAAAAAAACATAGCATCAATTATTAAATTTTCATTGGATTTTTTATTTAATTTGATAATTGTGGAATACACCATTTATATTGTATATTGAAAAAAATTTACAAGTTCTTCAAGCACATGATATTTTACACATTGTAAAATATTATTAAACCTGCATGAAATCAAATAAAAAAATATAAAATGTTAAATTTACTTAATAATATACCCAAGAAAATGTGATTCATTTTTGCACACCGTAATTGATGTTTGAAATTCTTAGTATACAAAATAATACATAAAATTAATCTAATATATCCAATACTTAAAGTCATGTTCACTCTCCCTTACTAAAAACGAATTCTCATCAGGAAACATTTTTAACAATGTATAAATACGTTGTTAATCAAATTCCCGGGAAACGATAAACTAACGGAAAATTTTAGCATAAACTACAAACAAGATTAACGCGATAAGAACGATAATTATAAGGGCAGTTATCAATCGATTAGTAGCCATCCTAAAAATTCAAATCAGATTAATAATGATAGAAATGAATAATGACGATGAACATCCTTGCCAAAGTTACATAGATTCTACTGCTGTAATAATTCTTTGGCAAGACACAAATATTTTTGATTTCTTACCGGCGGCCCATATTATTGAGAGTGCGCTGAGCCTTATCAATGTATGAGTCGGCCTCCATCAACTGAAAGAAAACTTAACAGTAAGCAACTATTCTTTCATGACAGAATAATATAATAATACGACATACAGTGTTCCTGGTATGCAAAATTTGTTCTCTTTGTCTACGAATATCTTCCAAAACATTAGATCCAATAGTTTCTACATAAAAATTAGATTGAGACATAAATAAAAGATAGAAAAATAATCAAGATTACTTAATAATTATGAAAATTAAAGCAAACCGGTCTCCAAAGCAATCCTATGACTATCTTGTAGACGTCTACTGCTATCAGCAAGTCTTTCGGTTCCACTTAAAAGTTTGGAACGTTGGCTCATTGACTCACTGTCAAGGTCGGTGCCAATGCCTCCAGCAAGCAATTCATCTCGATCTGAAGTTCCCGTGATTCTTGACCTAGCAGCCCTCTATGAATAACATTTTTTAGAAATTCAATGGCTTTCACTTATTATTTTTATAGGTAAATTTAAACACTAAATCCAAAATGAATTTTACCAAATCACGTTTTAATTTTTCCACGTTAGCTTTATAACCCCTCACTTTAGCTTGAAGGCG